GAATAACATCCCAAAAGTCTAAAGAGTAAAAATATGAAAACAAAACAATCCCACATGGATTAGAAACATAGAAGAGCATCCCAACTAACTTTTATAAATAATAGAGGTAATTTGACATTCAAAATCATGGAGCCTTTTGGTGAGCGTAGAGTGAACTATTCTTTCACTTCAATCAAACTCGAATTTTAGGCTTCAATCGAGATTCTAAATTTTTTTTGAGTTCAAGCCTTTTCGAGTTCAAGTTTCAATATTATATTTCGAGTTCGAGTTGAACTTGATAAATTTTAGTTCGTGAGTTTGAGTCGAGTTGAGCTTACTTTTAAAGTTTGAGTCGAGCTCAGTAATACTCGAGTTCGACTTGGCTCGTTTAACAAACGACGTCGTTTGGTTTAATTTAAAAAAAAAAAAAAAACAAAATTGGCGGTTTTTTCCGATTTTTCCCAGTTTTTTCCGGTTTTCAGCCGGTCCGATTCGAACGGTTCAATGATTCTGACCGGTTCACTAGTAGTAGTTCAACTGGTTTAGTTTAAACCGAACTAGACAACGGTTCCCGGTTGAACCAGCCGGTCTAATCCGATTTTAAAAACAATGTATATAAGAGCAAGTGAGTATAGCGGCAAGAAGTAGGAGAAGCATAAAAGCTTTATCAAAGTATTCTGTTGTAATTTCCTTCTTGAATGAAATAGTTTGATTTCACAATTATCCTATTTTCTTGTGTAATTAGCAAACGTAGATATTTTTAGGCCTGGCCCAATACATGTGTCAGATGGACCTTAATTCATGACAACATATTTGAAGGGACATCAATTTTCTAGTGCTTATAATGTGTACGTATATATTAGGCAAAAAAAAAAAAAAATTAGCCCAAAACACTGGTCCAAACATATAATAAGTACTTTTTCTAAATATAATAAGTAATTCAACTTTTTATTATTATATATTATTTTATAATGGTCCAAACATATAATGACAACTGACAAGTGCAAATGTGTCGGCCTACTACTCCCACGTGAGACTATTACAATTAATTAACATTATCGATTTAATATCAATATAGTATATGTTATTAATGGCACTAGGCATCAAATTGTAAAAGGCTGAGGCGGACGGTTATGGAAGCCAAACCAAGCGCCAACATCTTTTGGAAATTAACATCTGGCCCTTTATTTAAAAATAATAATTTGATCTCTTCAGAAATTTTAAAAAAATTTATTTCTTTGAATATTTTTAGTTAAGTCCCCTTTAATTTTTTAAAATTCTCATTAAATCTTAAATTTTTTAAAATTCTATCTAGATTTCTATTTTTTTTTTAAAATTTTTACATAAGCTCCCTTAACTAATTATGCGAAGACATAATGTCGTTGGTCAATGGCCTGATAATATGCTAATCTCTTTCTAGTTTCATGTACAAATCATCAATTATATGTTTGGACCATTCATCATCGGAAGGGAAAATTTTCAAGGTCCGGAAGCTGGAACTTTCAGACAAAAACAAAGGTTTCATAGAGCTGTTACGACAATTGACCGTTTGTGACTCAGTTTCCGACAAAGAATTCGAAGATAGGTTCAAGGAAATAAGTATGTACGGTGATAATCATGTTATATGTCTGGTAGAAGATGAAACATCTAGTAAGATTATAGCTTCAAGGAGTGTTTTTATCAAGAAGAAGTTCATTAAGGAAGTGTGGTAAAGTTGGGCACATTGAAGATGTGGTGGTTGATGTCGGTGCTCGAGGGTTGCAATTGGGGAAGAAAATTGTAGGTTTTCTTGTGGATCATGCTCATGCCATGAGTTGTTATAAGGTTATTTTGGATTGCAGCAATGAGAACAAGGTGTTCTATGAGAAATGTGGCTTTAAGCACAAGGAGATTCAGATGGTTAAGTATTTTTGTTTGAATGTAATGTTGATTTCAATCATCAATGGCATATTTCTTTGGGTTTGGGGAAAAACTGTTTTTGGGAAGATTGGTTTGGGGAAGAAAACACAGGAGAAAAGGGGGTAAATTGATATGTTATCCCCGAATTATTTTGAGTTTACAAAAAGATCCATTATTATTGATTAGTGACCAAAATAGAAGAGAAGAGATAGTCGAATGATGAATGACAAAATGTATTCAATTTATAACAGTATTAAACGGAGGATTGAGCTGCTTGATGTGCCACATCAACACAAAATAACAGAACCGTTGGCCAAAGACGAAAAAGTTGATCATAGGACCACATTGAGTATTTTTTTAAATTGGAGGGCCACATTATTATTTTTTTAAAGTGAAGGGTCTCATATATCTTTTTGCCTAAAAAATTTAATTTTGATTTCTTAACAAACTATATTAGTTTTTATGTGCCACATTATTATTGTTTTCTTAACAACCTAAAAAAGATTTATTTATGGAGTTACAAATTTTGCAGAAAATATTGTCGGATGAAGCACACAAAGGTGAAAGTCCATGGACATCTATTCAAATAATGGAGTTTGCAAGAAGAATGGATATGTTCCCTAATGTGTTGATATCATATAAAATTTTGTTCACGGCACTGGTTACAATTGCTTCCGCAGAAAGAAGTTTTTTAAAATTAAAGCTCTTGAAATCCTATCTTCGAAGCACGATGACTCAAGATAGATTGATCGGATTAACAATTCTAAGCATCGAAAGTCAATTTTTACAAAGTCTTGATTATCGTAAAATAATAGAGGTTTTTGCTTCAAAAAATGCACGAAGGCATCATTTTAGGTGATATTTGTAGCATTGTAGGTTTTGGTTTGCATTAGTATTGATATTGTTTAACTATAATTTCTATTACATTTTTGTTTTAAAAATATTATTTATGTTTTGTCTATTATACGGTACAAGTATAGAGGCATAAAATTATTATCTCGCCCAGGGCATTAAACCTTATTGGACCGGCCCTGGATATTTCAACATTGAATATAGATGTTGTCGGTTAAAAATACAACCACTCTTTACTTGAACTTTCTAAATATTTTCCCGGACTTTCATGTGCAATACTCTGGTAAGCTTTGTAGTGCCATTTGTATATATTATGTTTAATTATATTTGCTTAGAGATGCAAACCTCTAAAGATAAGTCTTTCTATTCCTTTAACCCATAAATTTACGTATTTTTCTTGCGAAATGGCTATAACTCAGAAACCTTACATTATGAGCATTTAGAAGTCTTGTATAGTTTTTACAGTACATGTTAATGAATTTGTGTTTGCTGCATATCAGGTTGTCAAAGTAAAATGGTCACTCCATGCAAAAGAAGATATCATTTTTTAGCTTAAGCAATGCAACAAAAAGCTTGCCGGAAGGATTACGAAAGAGCACAAGAGAAATGATCGAAGAGCAAGAAGCAGTCCGCGATCGTTTGTTTACGGTTCAAGATGTTATGCGAAGCACCGTTCGTGCATGGTTCCAGGTTTGTATCCATAAAAAATATAACAAAATTCTTCGATTTTTGAGCTTAAGGATTGAAATGTCTAGAAAGTATTATTTTAATAAGCCATAATTTCACATTTCATATCTTGAACTGTAATCTTGCAACTCATTCCCAACCCAAAATCCATAGCTTGTACATGAGAAAGCATGCTTGGAGAAATGTAAGAACGAAAGATTTAGGGAGAGTCCTTTCAGTTTCAGAGGTATTTGGCATTCAAATAAACTCAATGATGGACAATTGGACAAAGTAAAAGGGATATATAGTTATCTCACTTGGACAAAGTAGAAAGGAATTAGAGAAGGTTGGCAGGAATGGAAATGGTGAGAACAGAGTGATGAACAAAAAAGAAGACAATACTATAATGGGTCTTCATCGGTTTGTTTAATTAAGATTTTGATATAACAATTAATTGTAAAATTGATTTTGGACTTAATCGATTTTTATCAAAATTTTATCAAAAATAATTCAAAGTCCAATTTAACTTGAAAAATATGTTTTAAATGTTTTCCAACTTAGTCGAACCTTTTCAATACCATACTCGATTATTTTTGGGATTCCAGTGACCAAAGGATCGATCCCTTAGATTCCAGTGAGTTTGGGATCGATCCATTTACAATAAGGATCGATCCCTCGAGGAAAAGGATCAATCCCTTCACCAAAAGGATCGATCCCTCGATGAAAAGGATCGATCCTTCCCCTTAAAGGATCACTCACTTCCCTTAAAGGATTGATCCTTTTGTTCCAACAGTAGATTTTTTTGAAAAATGGTCGGTCCCTTTCACCAAAGAATAGATCCTTTGTGCATTAGATGTTGTTTTTGGTTGTAGGTAACAACTATAATGATCCCCAACGACTATAATTAATGGAGAAGGTATAAATTAAAGGTTAAAGCTTCCCAATGTCAACAAGATTCATATTGAACCAACCTACAAACATCAAAGTTTTGTTTTGTGCTTAATTTGTCAAATTCTTTGTTGTAAACACACTTGTGAGCTTCATTGTTTATTTGCCTCAAGTGTGATTTGGGTGAGAGCTTAATTATTTGCAAACACATTTGCCTTTGTGAGGTTTTTCTTTTGTTTGCTAAATTTTTAATTTCTCTTTGGGAGAGTGTGTAAGCAAGGTTTTGGGGTATAAACCTTGTGTGTATTTGTAAGGTTACACCTTATCCTTAAAGGTTTGCAAATATAGTGGATTTGAGAAATCCTTAGCGTGGATAACTAAGATAGTGGATGTAGGCTTGGTTTAGAAGTCGAACCACTCTAAATTGTTGTGCAAAGTTTTTATTTTCGATTGCTTCCACTAAAATTCTTAAAAGGACAATTCAACCCCTCTTGGAGTTATTCGATTGTTTGTAAGAGCTAACAATTGGTGTTAGAGCGGATCACAATCGACGGTTTAACAACCTTGTAAAGATCCTATGAGATCTCTATCAACCTTTACAATCAACCGATAAAGATAGCATCGACTTTCGGGTCATACTATATTGAGGATTTGCACTCCTTCACTAGGCCACCCGATTTCAATGGAGCAAATTATTCATATTGGAAAAAAGGACGATGTTGTTCATTCAAGCCACCAACCTTGTGGTTTGGGATACCATCATTGACAGTTCTCTCGTTCCTCCAAGGAATCAAAAGGATTGGACAAATGAAGATAATATGCTTGCCCAACTCAATGCCAAAGCCATGCACATCCTCTTTTGCTCTCTTGGCCCGGAAGAGTATAGTAGAGTATCTTCATGCTATAATGATAAGGAGATTTCAGAAAAATTGGAGGTGAACCACGAAGGAACAAGCCAAGTAAAGAAGTCAAATATTAACATTCTCACTCTCAACTATGAGAACTTAAAGATGAAGCCCGATGAAGACATCAAAACAATGTCCAATCAATTTACCACAATCATCAATAACTTGATGAACTTTGGGAAGGTCTATCCAAATAAAGATATGGTGAGAAAGATGCTTACTTCTTACTACATCATGGGAAGGCAAAGCAAATGCCATCGAAGAAGTCAAGGATTTGGATTTATACACCCTCGTTGAGATCATCTATTCTTTACTCACTCATGAGGTGAAGCTCTAAAGAAAGAAGAAAGAAAAAAAAGAGAATAATAAGAAAAAATAGGTGGGAATCGCCCTCAAATCCACCAATGAGAGTAATTAAGACTCAAATGAAGAGGTGGATAAAGATGAAGAGATGACCAAGCACTTCAATAAATTCAAACAATTTATGACATCCAAAGAATACAAGAAGATGAATCGAGTAAGAAGAAAGATCCCCCAGTGTGCTATGAATGCCAAAGAACGGGACATGTCAAATATGAATGACATCTTCTAAAGAAGAATGGGTCAAGCAAGAAGAATACTTTTGTTGCAACTTGGAGTGATAATGATGTCACCAATGATGAAAATGAAGAAGTAGGCAACCTTTGTCTCATGGCCATCCAAAAAGATTCAAAGGTATCCTCTAACTCATCTAATTCAAATTCCTATTCATTTGATGAGTTACAAGATGCCTATGATGAATTAGTGTTATAATGTGAAGTCATGATTTAAAAAGCACAAAAAAAACTCTCAAAATTGAAAATTTAAAATGACTCACTTTCCAAGACTAATAGTAAACTTGAAAGCAAAGTCAAGGATTTGCAAGAGAAATTAAATATTTTTGAGAAAAAGAATTTAGACTTGCAAAATTTGCTTTCCAAAGTTCATGAGGATTATCAAAAGAAAATTGATGATCTTGAAAGAAAAAACTAATTTTTGACAAAATCATTAAAAATAAATTTGAAAGAAAAAATTACTTAAAATCAAATTTTGTCAAAAATAATTTTTACAATAGACATGCTTATTCCCTAAGTATTTTAAAGGAAAAATGGTTAAAAGTATATGGGTCCCAAAATGACTCATTGCTACTAAAGATAAGGATATCACATCTCTATGGATACCTAAGGGGACTAAATTGCTTGAAACTAACAATAATGGACCCAAAAATATTTGGGTACCAAAAGTTGCATAATTGTCTATTGTAGGTGTGTTGAAGCAATGCTGAGCAATATCAAGGTATTTAAAGGCTCTAGACACACTGTGGAATGACACTTGAAGAAAGGGAGATTGAAATTTTTGTGCTTTGTATGATTTAAAATGTTTATCTGCATGATTGTATAATCCCATATAGTTCTTAATTGCAATTAGTTAGGGGGAGATATTTTTTGCATGAGTTGCAATTTTATGGCCTTATATGCTTATGATGATGATTTTGGCCTTAAATTTACAATACTTTATTATTATGGTGAAATCATGTTCTCTATGCTTTAAATTGATCATCTATGTTGTTTTTCAGAATATGATGTTTAAATGTTGCAAAAATTCAAAATATGCATGTTTAGGAACTTTAAAGCCATTGTATGTTTGTGTGACTTGATTTGGACTTTAGTTGTGAAAATTTTAGACTAATTTGATCAATAATAAAAATTTGCATAAATTGATGTTTCAAGTTGACATTCATGCACATTTAGTATCTCATAAGTCACCAATATTAATTTCTTATCAATAATATGACCTAGGTTGTGTAACATCTCAGAAACCAAGTTAGTGACTAAATTATAAGATTTTGAAACTTCGTGTATAATTTGTAAAAATTGAAAAGTTTAGGGACTTAATTGGAATATTTGGTTGTTGGATTAAATAGCAAAGTAAGAAGGAATGAAGGGCATATTAGTAAGTGGATAAGTAAATGAATTAATTATTCATTTGGGTTGATTATATAACATGTGGAAGAGAGGAAAGGAAAAATCAGAGAAGTCTAGATCACTCTTCACTCTTCACCCTTCTTCCTCCTCTCAACGTTCATCCATAGCTAAGGTGAGTTTCATGTTAGATGATTATTTATTAAATTTAAGCTTGGTTTATGTTCTTTAGGTAATACTTAAGCTTAAAGAAAGAATAAGATTTCTTAAAACCAAAAGATGAAAGAGTTAGGAAGGATTTAATATAAGAGGTGTTCAAGTGAAATTATGGAAAGGAGTTAGTAAGTGAAGTTTGAGACTAAATTTGACTTGTCATCAATTAGAATAAGAAGAAAGTGTTAGAAATGAAATCAAAACATGTTGGAAATTTAGTAAGATTATTGGTTTTAAGAATTATGGTGAGATATTGAAGATGATGATCTGCTATAGTGATAAAAGATGGTTTAAGTGAGTATAGTTGAGTTTAATGACATAAAAGGAGTTCTAAAGTGGAGTTTAGTATGGTAATTTTTGGGTTGTAAGAGTATATTATGGGTTTATGGTATCAATACTGGATGATCAGTATCGATACTACAAAGCAATAATAGATGATAATATTGTTTAGGATATCGATACTGTATGAACAATATCGATACCATAAGGAAAAAGTTGGTAAAATCTTCATGGGGTATCGATACTGAAGTGGTAATATTGGTACCATAGGTATCGATACAAATGTGGAAGTATCGATACCATTTTTACAATGAAAATTTCAAGAATAGGTATCGATATCGTGGGATGGCATCGATACTATAAGCATAGGGGTATCGGTACTGTACTTGTAATACCGATACTACTTAAGTTACAGTACTGATACTACTTAAGTTGAAATTTAGAAATTAGTACTTTTGTTAATTTGCATTGGTAAGAATCTTTTAGAGTAATTCGAATTCTGATATTTATATGGATTGTATATTCGTGTAGATATCGATGAAAGTAAAGTCCAGACAACTCAACGAAGTAAAATTTATCGAGAGAGAGATAAGTGATTGGTATTGACTAGTGAGACCAAGGTGAGTACATAATATTATGTATAAGTTATTTTATGGAATTAAGACTTGCAATAAGTCTAATTCCTATATTAGATTACATGAGTACATGGATACAAGTATGTTATTGATATGATGCTTATGTGTACATGAGTATATGCATAGGTCTAGATGTTAAGTGCATTTTATATACATGATTTATGTGAATGCATGTCTATGTGATAAACTATTTGAGCTGAGATAATTGAATTATGTGATTAAAAAGGAAAATGAGATAAGTTATGTGACTATATGAAAATGTAACATGAGCTATGAGATAATAAGTATGGGATTATATGTTATACGAGATAATCATATAAAATATGCTATATATGACAATGAGCTATGAGAATATATGAGAATTTTATATGATCTACCTGATAATAAGTTATGAGACTACATGTGAAATGATATAAGTTATGTGATGATTTGTGTGACTATGTAAATATATGACAAACATAAATGATAATGCCCATGTTATGTGAGATGAGAGCTAGAGGTATAGTTGGCATGCCAAGAGTTGAGGGTTCTACGCGGTCCTTCGGGACATATATGTTATCCTTTGGAACATATATGCGGTCCTTCGGGACATATATTTGGTCATTTGGAATATATATGTGGTCTTTAGGGACAATTCTATGTGGTCCTTCGGGACATATATGTGGTCATTCGGGATAATTTTATATGGCACTCAGTGCAAATTATACGAGTTGTGGTGACAACATTTGTACACAACCTCAATTTACTCACATATCTTTAGTTATCAGAAGTGTACATGGGCTAATAAGGAGATAAAAACAAATATATTTCATATGATATATATATATATGCTTTGTTATGTAAAATGTATTACATGATTTATGTGATGTTGTGTGTGTATTGCTTGGTTAAATGAGTTATATGATGATTACGAATGTTAGATATAAGAGTATATGATTATAAGGACTAATGATAAGAAAGTTAATAATGATAATGATGGTATATGTGCATATAAGCATTTTTGTTATATGAAATGTACATGTATTGCTAAGCAGTTAAAGTTTTCATTATTCGTTTACATGTCTCACTATGTATGTGACTTAGTGTGTGAGTATTTCACACGTAGGACCCAATAAGTCAGAAAAGCAAAGAGAGACAACATAACATCACCGAAGATCATATCAGAAGTAATTTAACAGTTTGTTTCTTTGTTGTATTAAATAGTGTTGGTATGTATCTAAAGGATTAAATTGTATAAGCTCTGATAAGCTTTTGTAAACTTTTTGATTTAATGTTTGTAAATTATTTAGTTTATTTATACCAAGTTTGAATTTCTCCTCTATTTTATATAAGTAAATGATTTGAAAGGTCAAGGTGACACCTCAGACTCGTATTCGGGTCGGATACAGGTTAGAGTGTTATATTTAATGGCATCAGAGCTAAGCTTTAGCCGATTCTAGGCTTAAACCGAAGTCAAAAGTTTTTTAAAAAGTATACATGCCAACAAAAAGTGAAAACTTCTGATCTGATAGAGTAATGAGTATATTGTCTTCTAATAGAGTTATATGGTTATGTCTTAGATATCTGATCGCGAGAGTTCCCAAAGTGAAGAGAGAAATAGTAGACCAGAAGGTAGTAGCAATTCACTTGTCCTGGCCAGGCAGGGTGAAGAGCGAACACCTCTGGTAGTACATGTACAAGATCAAGGGTTGTTTTTCAAGAAGTTGAACGCTATTTTGACATGTTTTCAATCTCTTGCTCCCTCAACTCCTAGAATAAATGTAGCTAAAGAGTTAAAAGGGTTAGGAGCACCGGAGTTCAAGGGTGAAGTTGAGGAAGGTCCTGTTGCTGCGGACCTCTAGTTAAACGATGTTAAGATAATTCTATATGGACTCCACTGCTATGATGTGGAAAAATTAGATGGAATAAATGTCACTATGAGATTGAGAAGTGATCAAGTGACATGGGCATTATTCTTAGAAGAATTCAAGCATAAGTATATTGGTGACTAGTTTATTAAGCAAATGAAGCAAGAATTTCTGAACTTGAAATAAGGGAACTACACTGTGTACGAATATGAATGTGAGTTTAATAAGTTAAGTCGTTTTGCTGCTGAGCTTATTCCGAATGAAAAGGATGTATGTGATTGGTTTGTGGAGGGCTTACGCCATAGATTAAAAGAGTTGTTGTTAGCTTTGAATCTGTTATTGTTTTAAGAGGTGGTCAATAGTGCTAAAGCTTTAAAGAGAGC